CGAGCCCTCGTAACCCTGAAACCTAAACCGCGACCTAAACCCTAGTAACCCTGAACCCCATATAAACCCTAAACCCTATACTAAACCCTAAACCCCTAAACCCTGGTAACCCAAAACCCCTAAAAACCCTGAACCGAGTCTAGGGGCTGGGACTTCCTATACTGAACTTAGAACCCTAGCAAAAATTAAACTTTTAGCTGTTTCTTAGGGATTATAAACACCAAAAATTAAAAATGATTTCTAAGTACCCCTACTAGGATACCCAGTAACCTAAGAATAGAAAGGCCTCTCTTTTTGGTATTGGGTAACTTGATAAGGAACCTAGGACTACAAAAAGGGAATAAGGGTACTACTGGGCATCCTAGCCTAAGATCCTAAGGCTCCATGTACCTTTATAGTAGATACTTAAGCCTCAAAGAGGTCCCTATATGGGTACTTTAAGGCCTAAGTATTTTTCTATATGGGCACATGGAGCCTTAGGGTCTAAGATTCAAGCCCCAAGGCGCCTTGAGAACCCTCTCCAGCTTCTGCTTTTCGATGACCTTCCGTGGACAGGGGCGGCTCTGAGGCTGACTGATGACGTACCCAGAGGCTCCTAGATCCCTTAATTAAGGAATACCTAGCGACCTAGGGCTCCTTTAAGGGATCCTTCAAGGAAGCTATAGGGTTTAGGGTTTAGGGGATTCTAATACCCCTTAATTCAGGATTCTTCCTTATAATAAGGATCCCTTATATGATATAAGGTAGATCCCTTAATGAAGGAATATACCTAGGGTTCCTTTAAGGGATCTATAAGGGATCTATAGGGTTTAGGGGAGTCTAATATCCCTTAATTAAGGAATATGCCTAGTCCCATGGCTCCGGGATTCAGGTTTCATGTCTTTGGGGTTTAGGGCTCACCTTGTTTACCAGACTGTAGTGAAGGGAAGCACTCGGATTACATGGAGTCTTCTTAGTTTGCAGAAACTACACTGAACTTAGAACCCTAGCAAAAATCATAATTTTAGCTGCTTCTTAAGGAGTACAATAACCAAAAATACAAACATATTTCTAAGTAACCCTAAGGAAAGGCCATGGTTTAGAGTCTAGATTTGCAAGATGAGTTGGAGCTTCCGACTCCGAACCCTCCGATGCCTGGTGCATCAGCAGCTTTGTCTTCTGCTTCTTCAGCTTTGACCTGGCCAAAATCCGTAGAGAGGCTATCAACACAAGGCCTCTAGGGTCCTTATAATGAAAATATGAAAAATAGAAGCCTTCCGTGTAGGGTCCCCTGTTCTCTGAGACTTCCGAAGCTCCCATACCCTTAAGCTTTCTTAATCAAGAAAAACCTTCATTTACGTATAGTCTAAATGTACACTTATGCTGTAATTACCCCACAACATGCCCCAAATCCCTATCCCGATTCTCAATAAGTGCCTGGAGCACCTCATAGCAAATCCCCCATAAGACCCTACTCCAACTAGGACCTATCTTGAACCGCCCCCGTTTTTCTTCCAGCGCTCTCTCGAGAAGCGATGAGCGTCTCGAGCGCATGGCACCTCGGATCAACTCGATTTCGAAACCCGACACCCTAAACCCCGAACCCCCAAACCCTAAACCCTAAATCCTGAATCCGATAAACCCTAAACCCCTTGAGCCGTGTTAAAATTCAAGGCTTTAAGCTGAGGGCTCCGGCCTTTCCGCTGAGGAGGTTAGGTTCGGAGCTTGGGCCAGTTGGGCTTACGGGCTCGCGCATGATGGTTCGGGCTAGGTTTGGGCCTTTATGTTTCGGCCTTCAACGGGTTTAGGGTTTAGGGTTAGAGTTCGTGTTGGGATTCGGGGCTGAGGGTCCAGGAGCTCCACAATTAGAAAACCACACCACCGTTGAGGGCTTAAGGTTTAGGGCCCGAAGCCTAAAAGCCCCCGATCCCTAAATCCTACCATCCTCGCAGCCCCGGAAAGGTCGTCAATCAGAGCTCCCCTAGAACCCGAACCCCCCGGGCATGTGTCATACACCGTTGGTTATTGGGCAGGCTTGCCCTCTCTGATTAAAGGTATTCTCCAGTAAAATAGAGGCCTCAATAATCAGAATAGGGTTTCGTGGCCCATGAATACTGCAAATATAGTAAGGAGCCACCCGAATAATAGAGGTAGCCATTTAGGAGCCTTTATTACCCTGGGCATCTAAGGACTCATATATCCAAAGACCATACTATATAAGGCTTTTGGGCTATTTTGATGCCCAGGGTCATATTCCCTATCCCAGAGACTCCAATACCCCTTAATTAAGGAATATTCCTTAAATTATAGTACAGTCCCTCATATGATTTAAGGAATATTCCTTAATTAAGGGATATTGGAGTCTCTGGGAACCCAGAGACTCCAATACCCCTGAATTAAGGAATATTCCTACAAAATCATACTAGGGATCCTTACTACAATTTAAGGAATGTTCCTTACTTAAGGGGTATTGGAGTCTCTGGGGACCGGTCCCTGGGTTCATTCAGCTGAGATGCCAAGAGGCCTAGAGCCAGCAGGAGGAGCCAAGCCCGGGAGACGCGGGACCTGTCTAGGGCTAGGGCCCCAAGAAAGCACAAAAGCAATGATGAGGATAGGGATATCCCATCTAAAACCCAATTACAAGAAGCCCCAAAAGGCAGGGATAGCCTTATAACAGGCTTATGCTTATGTCCTCTTTGGGTCCCTAACTGTCTGTCATCGGAATAGGTTTCGGTGTTTCGGATTACGCTTCCTTGAGCTAGGGTCTACGGCTCGCTAAGCTATCAACACCCAAGCTTTTTGAAGGGCCCTCTACATATTTCTATATCCGGGCTTATCACAAAGAAAATATGCAGGAAGCAACGAAAGAAGTGGGCGTTGGAGCTCTGAGCCATCAACCCAGAGACTCCAATATCCCTTAATTAACGCATATTCCTTCAATTAAAGTAGGGCCCCTAGTATAATTGAGGAAATATTCCTTAATCAAGGCATATTGGAGTCTCTGGGAACACTACAGATGCAATGCTACACCCTGAACCCTCTAGCAACCCTGAACCCTCTAGCAACCCTAACCCCCTAAACGCTCTAGCAACCCTAAACCCTAAACCCTGAACCCTCCAGAACTAAGACCGACCCTGAAACCCGAAACCCCAAACAACCTTTAAGATGAAAAAGCCTCGGAACTAATGTGGGAGTTTCCGAAAATGAGGGGTACTTTATTTTGGGGTCCTTACAATAAGGATCCTACTCTTTGGGGTACTATATAAGGGTCCCCTATTTTCGGAAACTCCCATGTAGGAATCTGATTAAGAAACCTTGGGCCTTTATCAGGGTTCCCTGTATGAACCCGAACCCTACTGTTTTGGGGTTCCGGGCCCAGGGTTTCTTAATCAGGTGCCTACATTAAAAGCTCAAACCTTACACGCCAAACCCTAAACCCATGAACCCTAAAGCATCAAATTTCGGCATCTCCGAGATTGAAACGTTCGATGCAGAGGCCTTATACGAGTAGGCTCTGGGGTGCAACTTGTTGTTCCGATTCCTCTGTCAGGCTTCCCAGAGACTCCAATACCCCTTAATTAAGGAATATACCTTAAATTATAGTAGGATCCCTTATATGATTTAAGGTATATTCGTTAAAAAGGGGTCTTAGACTCCCCTAAACCCTATAGATCCCTTAAAGGGAACCCTAGGTCTATTCCTGAATTAAGGGATATTGGAGTCTCTGGGTTTGACGATTTCTTGTTGAACTCTCGTCTCCCTCTGCCCATGTCTTAGCAGGTGGAGATTCGGGTTCAGGGCTTAGGGTTTAGGGTTTAGGGTTCAGGGCTTAGGGTTTAGGGTTTAGGGTTTAGGGTTTAGGGCTTAGGACAGATTCTTAGTTGCTCAGTTCATATAAGGCACAAAAAAGTGTAGACTTTCAGTTTTATAGTGGGTAATAGTATCCCCAAAAGTGTAACGTGTATCCGCTCAGCTACTAAGCAGACTAGGAATGCGGAATGAATCGCAAGAGTGGCCGTAGGTTTGGTGCTTGAGCCGTAGGGTTTAGGGTCTACGGCATCCAGGGTGAACCATATCCCATCCGAGACTCTAAACCCTAAACCCCTAAACCCCAAAACCCTAAACCCTGAACCACAAAAAACCCTAAGCCCTGAAGCCCGAATACCTAAAGCCCTAGCGCGTAAACCCTAAACCCTGAAGCCCTCAACCCAGTCTCGATCGAACGGAGCTGGTTTGGTATAATGGTCGCAAAATCCTGTTCTAATTATTGGGGCCCCTATATTGGATGAACAACCGTCGTTTGGGGTGTAAGGTCTGAGAGTTGAGTTCCGAGGATTGTCGATCTTTGAGGTTCTTTGGGGTTACTATCCCAGGCAGAAGCGGCCTGCCATGTCCCTGCACCCGAATGGGCCCTAATCGCGCCAAGCCTGAAACCGTACAGGAATTCCATGCAATATGGCTCATGTGGTACTAGCCTCTCTTGACAGCCGGCTTCCTTTGAGAAGGGTCGAGGAATGTCAAAGAGCTTTGGGTTTCAGGGTTCTGGGCTCATGAGTTCCAGTCATGATACGATGTAGTGTTTGGTGCACCCTAAACCCTAAACCCTGAACAAAAACACACTAAAAATCCCAAAGCCAAACAAGTGCTCGCTTTTCACCCGCACATTCAGCAGGAACTCAGAGTCGTAGGTGATGCAGCATGGTATAATGGTACACGCCCAGAGACTCGAAAGCCAGTAATGAAGATGTACATACCTTATACGTCCTAATTAAAGGGCCCTGTGTTTCGGAGTCTTGGTGATCCTTACCGTTGGTTAGTAGGGAATGGAAGAATGGTAGTAGTAGTAGTAGTAGTAGTAGTAGTAGTAGTAGTAGTAGTAGTAGTAGTAGTAGTAGTAGTAGTAGTAGTAGTAGTAGTAGTTCGAACTGTACCCCATTCCTCCATTCCCTACTAACCAAAGGTATGCTTCGGGCTCCGGGCTTGCATGGCTTAGGCTTTTGGTGTAGGGCTCAGAGGAAACTTCACCTCCGAGCCCCTGCGTCCTTCAAGATGACCTGTACCTGAAAGTTTCAGGACACTCTAGAGTGCCCTACCCAGAGGCCCCATAGTACGTCCTTTTTGGGATTACCTTACAGGATTCTTTATATAACTACTTTGGGGCCTCTGGGTATTGCTCTTATGGCGTAGAAATACTTTGAGTAGGGCTTCGCATAGTGTACATTCTAGTATTACTATTCAGGGCTCCGTATTGAGTGATTCAGGAACCCCAAATGGGTGGTTGTCGAAATTATGGTCCCTTTTTGGGTCCCTATATTATAATACGGCACCTATCATGTTTAGGGCACCCAACAAGGGACCATAATATTGACAAATACCCAAATGAAGAATACATCACCAAATTTTCCGACCCCTAAGACATAGCGTTAGGGCAATTTCGCAACGACGACCTTGGCATGGCCTTCAGCTTTGGCCCAGCCCAGAGCTGTCCTAGGTGTCGTTTACAACCGTCCCCGATTTTTTCTGCAATATGCGTGATCTAGACTACATTAAACAATTAAGGAAATATAAACGGATCGATTGTGGACAATACGTAAAATCCCAAATTGATTCCAAATCGGTACCTCGTGTCTGTCCCGATTTATCTTTGGCCTCGAGGAAGGATGCTTTTTGCTCCGCCTCAGGGAAGCTTCAAGTTTGTTGCTGGCAAACCAGCTCCCTGCCACCTAAGCACCCCTAGGCCTAGCAATCTTGAAATTCGTCTTAGCAGCCTCAATGAGGATCTGGACTGCGTCGCTGCAGCCGCTGATCGCGGCGCCATGTAGCGGAGTCCTCCCATGATTGTCTGCGACCATGATGTTGGCCTTCTCAAGATTATAGCAACAAGTGTTAACGAAGTGGGTTTACGGTCTACCTGGACCCCAAGAAATCTAAAGTCATGGGGCTCATTGTTATGATTTCCTGACATAGGTCTTTGACAGGGTGTCTTAGGGTCCCAGTGGGATTCAGCATATACGGCCTTCGCCGCCAGGAGGATCTTTGTCTCCTCAGCCCTGTTTTTGGAGGCTGCCCAATCCAGCGGAGTGCTGTTGAAGTTATTCCTAGGCTCCCCAGAAACCCTTCGAGAATTTGGGTGTCCGGGTATCCAGTTGCTAATTACTACCCAGGCTTAATCGTATATCCAAAAGCAACAAGGGTAAACGGTTGCTACTCAGGCTCCTAGATTCCGTGCATTGACATCGGCTTGCTGTTCGAGAAGGAACCGGACCACCTCTGCGCAGCCCCTTCGAGCTGCAATATGTAGTGGTCTGGAATCGTTCTCATCTTTCTTGTTCACAGCCGTCGGGGCGTCCCGGAGGAAGTGCCGCACCGCGGCTACACTCTTTCCTTCGTCGGAGTCCAACTAAAAACTTGAAACAAACCCTACTAAACCCGAACCGCCAAAATATCTGATCCATATTGCAGTGACCTAGCTTCCAGCAGCATCGTGGATGGTTTCACAGTCTGCTGCCTGTTTCTGATCCTCGATGACTTGATCGTCGAGTTTGGACTCTGGCTGTTCATTCGACGCCTCGTCCTTTTGCTTCAGTTCTGCTTTCAGCTTCCTCAGTTCCTTCTCCGTCTCCTCTTGCAGGTCTTCCTTCTGTTTCAATTCCTCCTTCAGCTTCTCCACTAACTTCTCTTGTGCAACCCGGCTCGCTCGCTCCTTCTCGATTTCCTCCTTTAGCTGCTTCACTTCTTCCTGCTCATCAGTTTCCAATGCCTTCATCAAAAGCTCCCAGTGGTCATCAGGAATTTCTTCCTCGCGCTTCGTTTCTTTCATGATCTCCGTCAAGATGTTGAACAGGTTAACGCGGCGAGCATTTGGCTTGCGGAATCTTTGTTCCACAGATGCACCCGTTCCCATGGCTGCCGAAAACACGTGACACCTTCCGGTGTATCGCTACTTTCGCATGGAAGCGACCTTTCGCTCATCGTCCTAAGACTGGCCCAAACATCTGAGACAATACTATAATAGTGCTTCAATTTGTGCACAAAGGAACTCCTGAATAAACTTGCTTCGATTCATGCATCGCGACTGAGTCAGTGTTTCGAACATGGCATTGGCCTGCGATCAACTTTGTGCCACCTTTCCATGCCAGAAACGGAGCTCATCAAACCCAGACCTTGAACCTGTGCCTGCTGGCACCTGACGCTCCAAGTCCAAGCGCTAAACCGCTAAGCCGCTCTCAGTTTTCCACAAGCACTGCGTCAACTATTATAGGGGCCTTGATGGCCTATACCCTATACTATAGAACGCCCGTATAGATACCTTATAGACCCCTTTAAAGGAAGCCCTGTTCTAATTATTAAGGCCCTACATTAGCCACCCTGCTTCGAGAAGCCAACGCTTGCAGGAACGATGTTCCAAATGGCTAAGAAAAAGAAGGGTAATACAGGGGCCTTAATAATTAGAATCTTGTTCCTTTACAGTAAAGGGGTCTATAAGGGTTACAATAAAAGTATAGGGACCTTAATAGTTTGAACAGAGTTTTGGGGCCCGTTATACAATAATTATGCTAAGGAACCCCCAAACATGCACAGGTAACTTACGTAAGGAGGCTCCAACTTCCTCAGGCCTGCCGGTACAGAATTCAGGCCGCCAGAGACGGCGAGACCGAGGCGTGTTTGCCTTAGCCCACATCAGCCATAGAGAACTTCAAGCAATTTCGGTGAAGAGTTTTAATGTTTGGGGGTTTAGCGTTTAGGGTGTTCTCCTTCTTTTGTGCCGGCAGTGCAGCTTCCGGAGGATTGGTTTGGCTTGGGTTTTCTTGTGTTGGGGCCGAAATGCCATACTGTAGTACAGAGCTGTGGGACGTAGCATTTATGCGACTAACTAGTGAGTTACAGAGTATAGGGCTTCCTACCCAGAAACTGGGAAACTCTAAGTAGAGAATACTCCCTCGACTCCACCAGGGATGCTCAGTAACCCGCCCTGCCCTCAGGGATACTAAAGTCCGGGTTGAGGGTTCAAGTTGTGAGGACCTGAGTCAAACAGCCAAATTTCAATATCGACGGCCACCGACTGCGCAGGGAAAATGGTATCTAGGCCGAGTCGGGTTTAAACCCTAAACCCTAGACCCTAAGCCCTCAACCCAAACCCGAAGACCGAAACTGAGGGTCTACTGCTAAAGCGAAGCAAAAACAACTCTATCCCGTAGTTGCTGAAAGCATCCCTATGAAGGATCCAAACAGCAAGCACAAGCCAAAAGTTGTGTTTGATTCGTTGGGGGTTTAGTGCGCAGGGTTTCTGATGTTGCCCAATAGTATCAACTGATCAACATCAGGGAAAATGTCCAGCTGTACTTCGGTCCGGCATGTGCCTGATGGCCGTTAAACCCGGCTACAGGCGCGGAACCAAATAGTAGGACAACCCAAATACGCAAATACGTTCCGTGGTTCATAGGTCATAAGAACAAAACTACTGCCAGCTGCGATGCGAAATGGCTGTCGTGATATGACCTGCCTTCAGAGGCAAGCAAACACTTGCACAACAAGAGACGAAAGAAGCGCCCCGAATCCCCGGAAGCCGGAAACCCATCGAATAAGCAACCTTGACCCTTTAGCTGCCGCAAAGATGCGGGTGCAAGACGTACCAAGATCTGCCAGCGACCTGCCCAACAGTTGAAGCATTTCTTCGGGATTCAGCGAGTAGGGATCATAGTATGTCAGCCACACCGTTGGATCAAGGCACCCTCGAGTTTAGCAGGATCCCTGACAGCCGTGGATCCCAGTAGAAGCCCTTATAGTTGCCTCCGATTCAACCGGAAAGTGTAATAGACCAAACAGACAGGCTCCTCAAAACTTTGGGACCCCTCCATACGCGGAAACGTGGCATTTCCGAAGCTCAACTTCTGAAGGTTTCCTGTAACACCAGCGGCTTTGGGACCCAACTTGAGCCTGACCCAACACAGAGGCCATGAGAGGTCGCAATGTTGTATGTTATCTTAACACACTATACTACATTATATTGCAATATACTATAACATGGGCGTTAAGAGAGCTTCAGAGCTTCTCGGTCGAGGAGTTTAGGCTCTTGGGAGGTCGAAGACCAACTGGCCAGAAGTAATGTAGGGGCCTTAATAATTAGAATAGGGTTTTGGGGGATATTCGATCATCATTACAACAAGGAACCCAGTTTGCGATAGTCGCCCAAGTACAGGGGCCTGAAGAAGTAGAACGAAAGGGGTTTTGAGGGGTAGTATATCATATTTTTGCAGGGGCTCAGAGGGAGCTATGTTGCCAAAAATACTCACCCTCAACCCTAATTTGAACCCATCAACCTCGACACGTCCATCACATCGGGCGGCAAAGTCTTCAGCCAAAGCGGCCTCGGAGGGAAAGTAGAGTCGCTGAAAACCCGAATGGGGCCTTGGGGGATGTGTTGCATCATAGCATAAAGTATAGTCAGTAACCTTCATACGAATACCTTAACCTATTAGGGTTTATAATAAGAACCTCCAAAAAACTAGGGTCTAGTAGGTCTATACAAACGATCTTGGGGGAATTGCGCATAGGGCTTCGAAGGTTCGGATTATGGGTTCAAAGTGGACACCTGGAGAACTTTTGCATTTAGGCCTGGTGATCTCTGAAGGCTTGACCTAGAAAGGCAAAGGGCTGAGGGTTGAATGTTGGTTTGATTGGGGTTTAAGGTTTAGGGGTTTAGGGTTTAGGGGTTTTAGGGTTTAGGGGTTTAGGGGTTTAGGGGTTAGGGGTTTAGGGGTTTAGGGGTTTAGGGGTTTAGGGGTTTATGGCTCGGCTTCGGTCTGGTTCCGGATAGGGTTCCTGCGGGGCTTGCGGTTCCAACGCTTTCCCCGCGGCCACCGAAACCCTGGCAACATCTGAGCTTGAGGCTCACCCGCAACATAGACCAGCAGCATTCCATAGTAGGATGTTTGGGCCCAGTTCCCCTACAGTAGAAGCCAGAAAGTTGGAACATCAGTAGCCTCATGCCCTTATTAAAGTACAGTAACGGGAATCCCAGCATGAACATCCTAAATCCACGTTCCAACTTTCTGGGGTTGACTATACAACATGAACCCTATAAGCCCCAAGCCCTAAGAACAGAATAATAAACGCTGAACCCGAAACCCTAGATAAACCTTTACCGTTGCATGAAGGGTGCAAGAGGCCGGCAGGAAGTACTACCCTAGATAAACCTAAACCCTACGTAAACCCTAAACCCTACAAAGTCCTAAACCCTAAACTATACTGAACTTAGAACCCTAGCGAACATTAAAAAAATTAGCTGTTTCTTAGGAATTATAAAAACCGAAAATTAAAAATCATTTCTAAGTACTTAAGCAAAGTCCTAAACCCTTAAAGGGCTGAAGGCTGCCAGGTTCTTGCAGCAAGGGCGGCGAGGCTTGGCAGCGTCGGCGAAGAAGTCGGTAGAAGAGGCTGCGACGGTCGGAGCCTGGGATGCAGGGTTAGGGCTTCAGGCCCCGGAAAGCACATAACGGTTGATGATGTAAATCCTGCACTACCTCAAAAGCCCTAAACTATGGAAATAATGGTATATTCCGTATTATGGGTAATGCAGGATTTATATCATCAACCGAAGCACACATTGGGATAGTGATGTTGATAGGAAAGCCCAAATAGATAGGGACAACCCATGTAAAATGCTTGTGCTTATGTGCTTAGGGGCTACTCTGGTATAACACGAGGCCACAACCCCGTCCTGGACCATGCGCGTTCACACGGCAGTAGAGTGTCCTAAATGATCACGACGGGTTCTCGGGGTCTCCACTACTATACTACCTACTTGTCGGGTATCATGGGGAACTAAAGGTTAACCTTTTTGGTCATATAGGGGTTTGTTGAGTTGTAGGCTCGTCGTCCAAGTTCGGGTTCTCCAAGTCGTTAGATGCCATGCTGTTATTCAACGTAGTTCGCTTCGGCTTAGATCAAGCAGCGAGGGTCCAGAGGCATTGCATGGGCTCACACTAACACTTTATCGCACACAGCACAAGACGTCGAGCGATGCTGTCCTCAGGACTAGCTGTATCATGCTACTGCATGAAAGTTCAACGCATGTTGCTGGCTTCTGCCGATCATGGTGGAGCTCAGCTCCAACAGAGCCTTCATGGCCTCAGAGAGGGAAGCATTGGGCAGTTAGCCTTCAACACTCCTCCTCGGCTGCATCTTCCCATTAGGGAAGGAAAGCCGCTAGTTTCTTCCGTCTCGTAAGGTTTGTAGGCAATATCGGCAGAACATACGGTCCTGAACGACTGTACTATTGCGAAGTGCCTGACAAGAACGGAAGAAGTGCAACGCTCCAGGGCTTCGGCTGGAAGTGGTGATTACATGGAGCTCGCACAACTCTTCAAAAGTGAAACCTCTATCGACTGTAGTCTGAGTTGATGCATCCCTCCTGGACACGGTACTAGACTCTACACTACGATTCAGGGTAGGGGCTTGGGTCTCCGGTACCAGCGGTGTGGCCGACGAGGAGCCTCGAGCCCTAGGATCAAAATCCAATCCTTGGTTCGGTGGTGGCGGGATGGATACCGCTGAGCTCGAAGGATAAGGCGGAGGCGGTGGAGGGAAATCCAGGACTTGGTTCGAAGACTGGGCCTCAACCTGCACACGCACAAAAGGAAGTCCAAGTTGGGAGGAAGTGCCTGGGTCACTGGGCTGTATTTGGGGGTTCCTTGCTCTTAAACCCTCACTGTCCAGCTCCCTAGCAATTGCTCTCCTTACAGTTTCTTGGCGCCTATCTCTTCGGGCCTGACGCTGTTCATCATCATCAGCATCAACCATTCTCACAGCATGTCTGTCACTACGGCAACATGTTCGGGTGCAGTACTTAGCTGACTCCCAAACAAACAGAACCGATAAAACCATTAGTACAACTATCAGAGA